ATATTGCGAAGTCCGTGTATTTGGAGCCCGATGCATTTCGATAATTTTACGTACTTCAGAGGTTCGCATTTGGATCTTAATCTTCGGTATATTCCGTCACTGTAACTCCGATATGGATACTAGTTCAGAGCTAGTATTTCTAGTAGAGAGAGCGATGCTGGTTTGCAAGAGAGTTCGTCGTCGATAGTCTCTAATGAGGAGTCTGCGCAGTGACAAACCGTGCCGCTACACCATTATTCCTGCCAGACCCCGAGGTTAACCCTGATCACAGATTGCCCTGTTGTGTTCCCTCTAGTAACCGTAGACAGATAACACTTAGGTCATGATGACCTGAGTATCCGTTGAGCGTATATTTGACAATTACAATTCAGTGAACGACCTTCAACATATTACTCCATCGTGATAAATGACGTAGTAACAATAGTAACGGGATAGAAAGAGAAGGCAAATGTGAACAAGAGGAATATGGTTGTTGTTACAACGACCATATTCCGAGAAAATCCGCCTCCGAGGCACAGGTCATGTGAATTCTCTGTTCTGTGCACTCATCTGGAAGATTCACTGACTAATGGCTTTACTGATCGTAACCTAAGCATTATCATGGATTTTTGTTCGGAGTGTCAAACTTGGATGCGTACTGTCAAAGTAGGGCGTATTATCATTCTTGGATGAGATACTGTTGTTGTGAGCAAACTGAGCACTTGATTTTAGGGCGTGCGCGGTAGTGTTTGCTCTGTGTGATCGTAGACATTCAAGCTAAGTAAGCTAGAGCTTGTATGTGAAGTGTAGTTAAGTTAAGAGTTTTTATTGGCTTGTGGTCCTTACTGGTTGGACCATCCTTACGTGAAGTACTATCGTTGCAACCCAAGGCTTGGTGGGTTGATTATTATCTATCCATTAGTATTAATTGGTATCATCGACTGGTTGTGTTAATCGAGTGGGATGAGTGTATCTTCTCGTGACATTGAGAACATTGACATGGAGGCCCAGAACGGCTCCCAACACTGTCAATGAATCAATGAATTAATCGCTATGATGTTATCGATGCGTTTCATTCCGATACTCACAACTCGACAAACACTCCCATACGTGTATAGAGACCTCCCAAATGTAGCTATAGCAACAGTATTGAATTTATAGGTCCAGGAACTTACCAGCGAGTGCTCTGAATTCCTCTCGAGCTCGATCATACTCCATTTCACAACTAGCAATCACCGCAACCTCTCCCCGAGGGCTCTGCGCTGACGATCGACGTTTCAGAGATGGGGGGCCCGAGAACGATCGTCCCCGTCGTACCGTGAGAGGTAAGGCAGTATCATGCAAATCAGCTTGGACCGCACAATCGATCATTTCCGGAGCGATCTGTACTCCTATAGCAATCACGTTAACCTCTTCCGCATCTTGTAAAGCGGTCGCAGTAGTAGTGACATCTTCCTGTGATCGGCGCCTCTCATTCGTCTGCGGGGCATCTTCAAACTCCATCAAGTCGACCAAAGGCCCCTCAACCTCCTCATCAACACTCAATGCCAGCGAGTCCATCGACTGACCGTGCTTCTGACCATCTCGTGGTGTGAGTTCAAAGCTAATGCTGGCCCCCGCAGCAGACGCTGACGAACCCCGGCCTTCCTCAACAGGTGGGCTCCCCAACAGGTCAATCGATACCACACCAGCATCACTTTCCGGCGACGGTCTCGCTTCCTGGGCGATCGACTGCGCCGCTGAACTCGTTGGAGCTGAACTCGCAAATAAAGATGTCGATGATGACGAGGAGGAAGAGGTGAGCACCAGAGACTCCCCCAAACGGTCATGTTTCCGTAGTAGTCGTCTCACGAGGCGGCTCGGGGACATCGGCATCTTATGCGTTGCAGTCGTAGTCATCGTAGCCTCCATCCCACCAAGGCGTTTCCTAATCCGTTCAAGCACTCTCTCAGCCCCACCCGCATCCTCTTCTTCTTCCTCTACCACCGTATCAACAGAATCAAATAGAATACCAAGACCCTTGCGTCGAGTTCTCCAACGCTCTAGTATATCATCATCATCATCATCATCTACCCCTCCAACGCTCTCCCCATCATCATGAGCTTCCCTCAACCGCTGCACCAATGACGATATTTCGCTACTTTCTCCAACACCCTCCACCTCCCTCGGTGGCGACACACTCCTATCAATGAACGCTTGTTCAGCATGGTGCTCCTCAGGCATCATGATATGCTGTACTCTATGCTCCACCATACTCCCACGCAATGCACTCCAAAAACGTTCTGTCGGGTCCTTCACCGTCGCCGCCTTAGTCTCCTTCGTAAACCGTGGCGACTTGTTCCCCGGGGGAGTCCTCGAACGAGCGCGCACGCCCTGCCCACACACAGTCAACTTCACATCATGGGACTGGTCAGTCACTCCTCGACGCCCAACACCATACTTCTTCTCAACAGATTGCCTCAGCTGATTCGCTCTGTCAAGACTCTCACGCAACGATTGCCGACGACGATCTCGATTATTCTGAGAGTAATACACCGTTGAGCTCGGAAGTGTATGTTCCACTTTCCTCAGCTGGTTCAAGTTCACAAAGGGTAGAAGTGGCTCAAGTGGCTCGAAAGTTTCCTCACTTATTACACAAGTTCACATACGAATCCGGGTGGAGGCCAATGATGACTTCCCAAAATTTCCTCAGAATTTATATATTCATATGTAGTTGACAATATGCATACTTTCTCACACTGCGTTCTTTTCTCACCTTCCGTATCGCCCCTGTCTTCGTTGCCGTGATAGTAGTGGCCATTGATAGTAGACGAACGATACTCCGCGAGAGATAATCAAATAATTGATATTGCATTAAATGCACTCATAAGCTCGGCTTAGGGATGCTTGATTTGCCTAGCCGAGAAAAGATAGAGTTCACGACCGATTTCGGTTAGCAGTGTACAGGAACCAGGAACTTTTTCCCAAAATTTCGTCAAAATTTTCATATTCCCTTTGATACATGTAGTTAACCATGTGCATATTTTCCCACACTGCCTCTACCAACCATCACCCCTTGCATTAACGTACTCAATTCAAGGAGATACTTCGACATCGGGGCTACAGCATTTGACATTTATTAAACCACACTATCATGCCATAACTGGAGCATCATCTACGACTTCAGCTATGAGCTTCTCAAACTTGACCAAACCCTCATCGACCATATCCTCTGGTCGTGGTCCGGGGTCTCGATACACCAACTGGTCCTGACCATAACAACACACACACCGTGTAGGGAAATATGCACATGATCAACTACTTATGACTACTCTCGGGAAATTAACGCGGATTTTTCACACTTGCAGGTTCTATAAAATTTACCATAACACAGTGTTGGAAGCTCCTGAGTTCAGCTGAGTAAACCGGACATATACTATAAATTGAAATAGGTCCGTTTTACTCAGCTGTTCTTTCTCCAATACTTAACACGTGCTCAGTGACACACACGATTCGTTAAGAGTATAACGAAAAACTACAATCCCATGAACGAAATTACTCTCATTCCAAATCCAAACAATTGATACTAAGTGATCCCTACCTCATGCCCAGCCGGACAAAGCGTAACCGTTTCGAAATCAGCGATTTTCTTATAGTCAACCACAAATCTGATGTCATCCGGCTCAAGCTCCCTTGCTGCTTCGAAGTCCTCAGCCGCCTCGTCAAACATCTTCAAGGCCTTAAAGCTGAATGCCCTTCTAAACAACGCTCGAGAGTTCAGTGGTTGCCACCGTAGAACCTAACAACAATTCGACGCGACGATCGCTATCCGGTCCTATTTTTCCGTTGCTATCGAGACACTTCCGCCGTTGAGGAAATGCAAGTTTGCAAGATTCAACTATACAGTAAGGTCATCTTCATGGACATTCAGCAATGTTGGAGGACTATATCTTCGCTTTCCTCACTAACTATGGAAGTTAACATACAAATTCGAGTAGAAGTGTACAAAAACATTGAGAATTTTCCAGAATTTCACATATGTAGTTGACAATGCGCATATTTCCACACACTGTCACTCTACCCATCAGATGTGTGTCCTATTCTACCCAACCACTAAAGTAGAATACAAAATACAAGGAAAGGTAGTCATACAAGTTGATGGCAATACATTAGATTTGGAACAAGGCTATGTGGCTCTTAGTCATTGTGTATTGGGATCCATATGGATATAATTACATGATGAGATATCATATGTTAGCTTATGAATATATTATAAGTAATAATACCAATAACAAATAACAATATACGATCACCTATATCTATATCTATTTATAATAAACAGGTTATCGTCATAATAAACCGTAAATAAATAGTAATATTTAATATCTTTAAAGTACACGTGATTATTTGTCCCCACAACTCTTACCTCGCAAAAGTCCTTAAGAGCCTTCTCGTGCTCCCCACAGTTCTGTAGGGCTTTCGCCTTCTCATGATAGTAGTGTGGTCTCGGCGGCCCGTGGTTCGACAGCAGATGCTCTATTGCTTTTGTAAAGGCATACACTGCTCGCTGGGGACGACTACCAATATTCGCCTGACAAGCTCAAACCATACAAGTTCGAGACCGCATACCACTCCAATTGCAGATCATACGGTTAGCGATGGTATTGCCCCTTCGACAACACTACTACGGCATTCCCGAGTCAATTTGACATTTTACCGGAAATTCCGGGTAAGATGGATTGGTATATTATCAAAATGGTAAATTATCGGAATTCTGATAGTTTACCTACTTTTCTGGGGGGAAATACAAATTTTTCAACTTTTTACTGACAGTTTTTCATGAATTTTACCAAGTTTCAATGAGATAAAATACGCGCAATGCAAGTCCATGGCATATTTGAACAATACAATCATGTTCGAAGAGCCTCTATACCAAATTTCAGGTTGATATGAACAGCAGTTGAGATGGTGGAGCTGCCACACGAAATGGCGCGTACTGTAGCTGATCTTACCAAAAACGTACAAACTCCAATTAACGACGTTAATTCTGAGTACACGAGCGCGGCATCACGTGGACAACTCATCAGTGCCGATTAGATCGGCATCGTACTGACACATACCTCCTCCTAGTACTATAACAATCTCTCACAAACGATGCAAGTCTCAGCAATCTTCCTTACCTCGCACACTCCAAGATGATAATACAAATCAGCCATACACTCCTCAGGAGGCCGATCAGACTCGACCGCCCTCTCTAGATCCTCAATAGCTTCCTCATACCGTAGTTGTACGAAACGTGCGACTCCTAACAAACCACACCACCATAATTTCGTGGCGCGCGGTAATTATTCCCACCTCGACGATAATAGAGATAGTTGCCATCACCATCACAATCTCCCATCGCTATCGCCTTACATAAATCATCATCAGCTCGGCCGTAAAGCCCATACTCTAGAAAACACTGAGCTCGATTACTAAGATACTCCAACACCTTGCCGCCTGAAGAGACCTGGGAATCTTGCAATCTTGCTCTCACTTACCCGATTTCTCAACGGCTGCTGATAAGTCCGATATTGCTTCTGGAAGGTTTCCAAGATACTTCCAACACATTCCTCGTCTATTGTAAACCGCAGCTGGGTCAACCGGCGACAGTTTCAACGATCTGACATCCATTGACAAGCATGCGTGCACCAGCATACCACACCATCCACAACTCCTACTCGCTGAGATCTTCCAGAGCCTTCTCATAGTCTCCCAACTCGGACCTTACCATCCCTCGATGGAAAAGATTCTCCCTCAACGCCTCCTCCAGTGCACACTTCGACTCAGGACTCTCCTCCCGAACCAATTCCAACAATTCGATCGCTCTATCAAAATGCCCAAGTGCTTCTCTCAGCCTGATGAGAAATCTTCCGAGTGCGGTGATGATGCTCAACCGAAGATTCACCTTTTCATTTCCTCACAAATTAACCCTCTCGCCTGATAAACCTGCGCTAGCAGTTTATTATCGTCGATTCTTTCAAAACGATCGTCCATAAAACAACGAAACGCATCTTTTGTTTTACCACATTCACGATACCTAATAACAAATCAACATCATGA